GTAATCTACTTGGTAGGACACATATTTTATCTTCACTTAGTCTTCACAGCAACTATAATGCGAGGTGTAATTGTTCTCACAGATGAGAAGGCTGGGGCTGACAGAGGCAAAGTGACTTGGCTGGAGTCTCACAGCCAGGAAGTTCAGAGCCTGGATTTCTTTTTTTAATATGAATTATGTTAATTTCAGTGATTTTTTTAGATATTATTTATTTATTTTTAGACAGAGGGAAGTCAGGGAGAAAGAGAGAAACATCAATGTGTGGTTGCCTCTCGCATGCCCCCTACCGGGGACCTGGCCTACAACCCAGGCCTGTGCCCTGACTGGGAATCAAACGAGCGACCCTTTGGTTCGCAGGTCTGTGCTCAATCCACTGAGCCACACCAGCCAGGGCTCAGAGCCTGCATTTCAGTGGAACTTGTCAGACCACAAAGCTCTCTCTGCCAGCCAGCTTCTCCCTCCCCTGTGCACAGAGACACTGGTTTTGCAGCTCTGTTAACAGTTCTTATCAGCTGCCGTGCCTTAGCCTTGTCTGCACGTGTTTGTAGTCTCCCTCACAAGTCTGTGAGCTACTTGAAACCAAGAACCACACCCTGGTGCCTAAAGTGTGTGACACAGGGAAGGACTGAGCATATTTTGTTGGATGACTGTAACTGAGATAAACAGGGCTCTGACCCAGGGACCTAGGAAGGGGACGGTCCCAGGCACAGCTGGCTTGCTAGAGAGAATGCTTCTGCCACGTTCCCCTCCCATTCCTTTCAGAAATCCGGTTTGGCAGACCCTGTTGGCTTTCCTGTTCAATTGAAGTAAGCTCCCAGAGCAACTTCTGGGCAGACCCACCATGTTCCTCCCACACCCATCCATTCTTTTCCTCCAGCAAATCCCTTGAATACTAAGGGATTGGAATTCCTTTTCCAGCTATTAGATCCACTGTGAACTTCAGCTCCTCCTCTTAGCAACTAGAGCATGTGACACGAACTCTTTGCTGTAGTGGTGGATCAAACAGAGTTAGTCTCTTCCCCCAGAGATACATTCAATGACGTCAACAGCAGAACAGTTTGGAAGATCAACTCCCACATACTCAATGTGTGCATGGAAAACTTGGCCCTGGGTGGGGGGAGTGGCTGATACCATATGGGGATAAGGTAAGGCACCTCTTTCCCCCCTGGGACATTTTTCATCAGGGTCCCCCAGCCCAGCCTGGGACGCTACTCCAGCAGTTATTGGTGAAAACAGCAGGTGGCGTCTCCCTTGGAGCCCTTTATGCCACAGGATGTGGACCCGGTCTGGGGCTGAGCCTGGGTGTGGGCTCCACCTGCCCTCCCCGCCCTCTTGGCTAAGCCATTCGGTTTCTAGGCGGAGCTGTCACCCAAACCAAGGCTCAGACTCGCAAGGCCTCTGAGCCCAGTTTACTCCAACTCATGTACCTTTAAAAGGTGCACACATCTCAATTCATCCTCTAGACAAGGAGCGTGAGCCTCAGAGAGGTTAACTGGCTCGTCCAAGGTCATCCAACTAGTCAATGAGATTAGAGCCTGGGTGACCCTCGCTTCACAGCTTCCCCTCTCTGTTAGCTGGTTAGCTGGCTACTCAGGAACTAGGCTGTTCTGGGAAAGGAAATTTCCTGAGATTCCACCCAAGCAGGACTCTTTTGAGCCTCAGCGACCAGGTGTGCCACACTCGGCCTCTGGCCTCCTTTGCCAGCTGCCAGCCTGCCACACACCAGCCAGGCTGGCCAACCTGCAGTCTCCCCAGCACTGTGCCCGAACCTACACACACGGATCGTTTTCCTGTCTCCCCACCGTTCCCCACAGCCCAACCTGTTTTTTGTAATTGATTTGAGAGAGGGGGAGAAACATCGATTTTTATTTTCCACTTATTTATGCATTCATTGGTTGATTCTTGTATGTGCCTTGACTGGGGATTGAACCCACAGCCTTAACGTGTGGGGACGACACTCCAACCGAGCTACCGGGCCAGAGCCAACCTGTCTTTTCAAACCTGCGTTGACATCCCCTTCTTTAACCCTGCTTCTACCCAACCCTCCCACCCATCACCTGCAAGACTGGATTCAAGGTTCCTCCCACTCTGCACCCTGGTGGATGCTCTAGTGCATCAGCCTTGCTGTACGCTGCTCAAGGGCAGGCACCGGGCGAGCTCAGCACCCATCCTGTTGGCCGGCCAGGGCCTGGCTCATAAGAGGGGGGTGTGGAAGTAAAGAGGCTCAACTCTCTTTCATAGATCTCCCTCAAAGACCAGAGGCCACTCTCCTGCCTCAGTCAGCACTTACGCGCTGGCTGACCTTGTGTCCACGTCCGCCGTCCTGGAGAGGCAGTGTGAGGTGTCCACAGGCAGGACCCTTCCTCCCACATGCCTCCACACGGGCCATCATTCTCCCCTCCGAGTCTCCTCCCCTGGAGTCTGAAAGCTTCTCAAGCTTCCCGACTGCAAACAACGGTGGCCGATAGACCAGGTGAAAAAGACTTGCGTTTCTAAGAATCAAAGAAATGCAAATCCAAACAACAGTGAGGTGGCACTTTTGATCCAATGGGCAAAATCCAGTTTTGACAATACAATTTTAGAGGCATAAGTAAAGAAGCAGAGTGTGTTGGAGAAAACGGGAACAGTTTTGGGGTAACCAGTTTTACAGTAACTATAATGAAACACTTCTAAGCATGTGTCCTACAGAAATGCTCACACCCATGCACAGGCTGGTAATCCAGGGCTGTCGTCAGAGACTGGATGGTGACCGTGGAAAAGTGGGCGAAAGCCAGGTGTTCATCGTTAGGGGTTGACTAAATCCACCGTGGCACAACCATCCGACAAACGTCCCTCTGGCCACTTAAAAAGATAAAGGTAGATCATATGTAGTGGTGTGGAAAGATGCCCCCCATCTGCTGTTACATGAGAAGTACATGTAGCAAGTTGTAGAAGTACTTGTATAATAATAACATTCCTTTGGGTAAAAAAGTAAGAAGTGTGTGTGTGTGGTATGTTATGCATATGCTCTGTGGTGTGTGTGTGCATGTGTGTGTGTCTAACACAAACATTAGTCTCCTCTCTTCAAGGGTCACCTTCCTCTGGTACATTTGGGGACAAGAGTAATGTGTCTTCTCGGTAACTACTGAGTCGTCACCTGGGGCCCGCTCCATCCTCCCACCACTCCCAGATCGGATTTCATCCCAGAAGGTGCTCACACAGTGCCAACTGTTTGTGTCACCTCCCTCCCCCAGGCCTGCCACCATGCAGGGCTCTTTGGGAGTGCCGGGCTTTGCTGGAGAGCTGGAGTAACTGAGGGGATGACAGAGAGGATGGGGAAACACTCAACTGTCCTCCAGTTATTAACTTTTTCTCAAGTGTGTTTTTGAAACGGAGAACAGTACACCTAAGGGTGGCCCCAGTCATCGAATGGCCCTGCCTTTGTCTCCCTGATGGCTCCCACACCTGCACGCGCAGAGCCGGGTCTTCAGGGGGCACGCGAGTGGGGAATATTTCTGTAGTCGGAGGGGAAAGCGCCGAGGAGGGCAGCCTGCCAAGGGAGTTCCCTTCGGAGCACCCCCAGTTCCTAGCTTCACTCCCCTGTTCTTGAGACTGCCTGGAACTGGCTTTCCGTTACATGCTGTTTATTCAGAGCCTTCAGAATTGTAATCGAGCAGCTAATACCCCACACTGATGTGACATATTAAACAGTCCCCCTCAGGTTGGTCATTTAGAGTGTTTCTAAATGTCTTGTATTGATGATGCTACCATACATAGAGATTTTTGCTTATATTGGATTTTAAGAGTGAAATCACTAAGTCAAAGAATATCACACAAATATCTTTACGGTTCCTACTGAAGGTGGCCAAATGGCTTCCAGAGGATGACTCTGATTTATGACCCTGCCAACACTACGGTGGAAGCCGCCAACGCTGGCTTTGTTTTTCAGTTGGCTGTTTAAGAAGATTTAAGTGGTACCTCAGAGCTGTTTTCCCTGTTTTTCCCCTTACTAGCAAGAGTGGAGCTCAGATTTTCAAAAGGTTTGTTTTTAAAGTGTCCTAAGTTCTAGTCACAAGAGTTCTTTCTCTTCACCAGTCAGATCGTAATAAACAGCATTAATGATGCTGATACAACAATGAGAACAAGAATTGTAATCCTTAGTACTGCAGAGAATTTGACAGTTTACCAACTTTTACAAGCCGTTATCTCTTTTATTCTGCCAGTAGGCAAGGCCAGGCAAAGATCCCCCCCACCCCCTCCCCCCACCTATAGATGAAACAGTTGAAACTCTGCACACCCTGCTTGGCTTGAAAAACAAGCCCCCCAGGGCAGCTGTAAATCCTTGGGGGCGTGGTCTCTTTTCTCTGCTTCTCTGTGAGTCCCCTCCCCCTCTCTGCAGATCATCTTTTTCTGCTTCTCTATCAGCACCCGGGAGCCTAGAAATAGCAGCTGCCTGCAGGCTCTGCCTGTCTCTTCGGCTCAGGCTCCAACACCTAATCAGGATCTTTGCCCCTCGGTTCATCCTACCTCAGGGGAGACTCTGGACTTCCAGCCTCCCAGAAGGGTTCCCCGCTGCTCAGGTGTCCACCCTGGGTTGGAGACAGAGTGGGGGACGAGGCCACATGGTACAATCAGAGGAGCTGGGGCTGAAGGCAGATCTCTCAGAAGGGTGTGGGAAGAGAAGCAGAGACAGGCTTTTTAATTCAACACTGGCTCAGAGCTATCCACGTGTGGGTCTCTGGGCCTGGCTAGTCCATAACCAGAACACGCCGGTGATAATAGTTGCTGAGGTCTGCAGAGAGTTCTCGGAGAAAACCCTCCCAAAGGAAGAGAGGAGGTGGCCTCTTCCCTCTCGAATCACACCCTTGAACCTCTGTGCAGGCTTCGTTCAGCTCTGTCCCCCGCCCTGGCCATGGGGCGCCTCACCAAGCAGGTCTCAGAAAGCCTGATGTCAGAGGGAGAGGCCATCGGGGCCTCCCTCTGCCCTGCCCACGCGGCTTGGACCCTCCTTTCCCCTGCAGGTGCGCATCTGGGAGATCCCCGAGGGCGGGCTGAAGCGGAACATGACGGAGGCTCTCCTGGAGCTGCATGGGCACAGCCGGCGCGTGGGGCTGGTGGAGTGGCACCCCACCACCAACAACATCCTGTTCAGTGCCGGCTATGACTATAAGGTAGGCAGCCCGGCAGGCGGAGGGCATGCGGGAGGAGAGAGAAGGGCGCCTTTGGGGGCCTGTAAGAAGCACTGTTACTTTCCTGAGCATGTTAACCAGTCTTGTCTCATCTGTTCATTTCTTCATTCACTACACACAACTGTGCATCTCCTGTGCACCCCATCATTCCTGGGGTCCACAGAGGCTGGAGGCATCTGTACTGCCTTTTCTGGTGCTGATGGACTGGAAATGAATGCCACTCCGTGCCCACACTCTCCTGGTGGGAGAAAAGGGAGCAACTGGAGCTGCTGGAGGGAAGAGAATGGAGCCCCAGCCCCCACCCCCAGGCAGGCCCTCAAAAGAGGTGTGCCAGCCTCTGGAACTTGGCAGGGAACATTTACCCTTCTTGCTAGTTGCAGAAACTTGAGCCCAGGCTGGAGATGGGGTCTGCCTGAGGGTAGTGGTGGATCTGTGTGACGGGGACACGTCGGCTGTTCATACAGAACTCAACGACAGCATCCTTCATCCCAGCACACCCCGACCCTGCACGGGCATCTCCCCCAGGCCTGTTGGGTGTGGAGCGGGGACAGGCACCCTGTGATAGCAGCAGCAGAGCTGACCCTGACTCCTGCTCATCTGCTGTCCCAGGTCCTCATCTGGAACCTGGACGTGGGTGAGCCTGTGAAGATGATCGACTGCCACTCGGACGTGATCCTCTGCATGTCCTTCAACACCGACGGCAGCCTACTCACCACCACGTGCAAGGACAAGAAGCTGCGTGTGATTGAGCCACGCTCTGGCCGTGTTCTGCAGGTGAAGCCCCATTTTTTGAGGGGAAAGGAAGGGGCTCAGCTTTCAGCCAGGACCAGGGAAAGGCCGAGCCAGCTCCCCTCTCCCATGCATCTGGCCAGCACCTCTGCTGACCATCCGGTTCTGGGCCCTTCTCGGCTCACGGAAACCCTGCCCTGTTCTCGGTGGGGAGGGGTTTTAGAACCCTTTCTTGTCCACTGCACCCGCTCCCCAGATGGGATCCTTCTGGCCTGCTCTGGGGGCTGAGCTGGCGACACCCTTCAGCACATGAACCCTTGGGTATTGACGGTGAGCCTCATCATGGGCACAGGAGGAAGGGATTTGGACTCACTGCCCGGCCACCAGTGTGGGACAAGCCTGGTGGAAATGGCTGAGGCTGCCAGCCCCAGGGACAGCTCTAAGTGGGGAGGTAGATGGTGAACTTAACTCAGTTTTGGTTTTTTAGTCTCCTGAGTCTTGACAGTGAAGAAGGGAGGAGATGTCATTTGGGAATAGGAAATTAACATTCCCTGAGCCCCTGAGGCATGCCAGTCACTGAGTGGGACAGAAAATTTGGGTTGAATTTGTGATTTACCTACTACACTAGAAAAGACTGGGGGTGACCTGGTTGTGTGCATCTCGGAGGAGTCCGCAGCCGTGAGGCCAGAGAGGCATCTGCTACAACCTCTGCAAACAGGAACTCCCCGGGCACTAGCACCACTGGCGGCACGTACCCAGAACTCGCTGCGCGGCATGTGGTGGGCCATGGGCCCCTTGTTTAGTGCTCATGACAGTCCCCTGAGGCGGGTCCCCTGACTCTCCCCATTTTGCACATGGGAACTCTGAGCCTTGGAAAAGGTAGAGATTTGAATGTCACGGTCAGGGAGGAGCTAGAATCCAGTCCCAGCCAGATGGACCCAAGAGCCCATGCTGAACAGAAAAAGGTGTCAGAGAGCCGAAAACCCAGCCTCCACCTCACAGCCATGGGCACGAACCCAGAGAGGGTGGGGCTCCTCCTGGGTTATACTCTTTCTGGCAGAACTTGGGACTGAAATCCAGAGCAAGTGACACCAGCCTGGGTCTTTGCGCTGCTCACCAGCCTCTGTTTTCTACCTGATGCTGACTCATGCTGGCAGAGGACCGTTGTGTACCGGCAGGAAAAGGAAGTGTCATGAGTTGGGAGGCAGGAGAGGAGGCAGAGAACGGCCTTGTAGGAGCCCCTGGTGAAGTGGGTCATGAGACAGCGAACCAGGGTGAGCCCCTGTCCTCCTGAGCCTCAGGTTCCTCATCCTCCGAGGCTCCTGCCAGCAGTATTGCTGTGCAGGTTAAAAGGGAAACCCTGCTGAGAGCACCTGGCACCTGGTGCATTGCAGGCCCTGCCCAGGGCTGGGTCAGTGTTAGTTCCCCGCTGTCCTGCCCCCGCCCCCTCTGGGACAAGGCAGAGAGGCCTGCGTCCCAGTCTCAGGGCCCCACCGCCCCTCCACCCCGTAAGTGTTCCCTGGGGCTGCTGTAGCAAATTACCACACTTGGGCGGCTCACAACAGCAATGGATTCTCTCCCAGTTCTGGAGGCCAGAGTTCTGTCCGCAGGGCCACACTCCCTCCCGAGGCACCAGGGGAGAATCCTTCCCTGCCTCCTCCAGCTCCTGATGGCTGCTGGCTTCCTTGGCTTGTGGTCACATCTCTCCAAGCTTTGCCTCCACAGGCACGTCACCTTCTCTGTGTCTGCAACCTCCTTGTGCCTGTTCTAAGGGCTCTTGTGACAGCATTTAGGGCCCACTTGGATAATCCAGGGATCCCCCTATCTCAAGGCTCTTAACATTACATCTGCAAAGTCTCTTTTTCCAAATATGGAAACATCCCCAGGTTCCAGGGATTAAAACATGGATGTGTCTTCTGGGGGCCACTGTTCAGCCCACTACAGGACCCCGGTGCCTGGGCCCTGGCTCACCGACTCTTTCTGTTCCCCCAGGAGGCCAACTGCAAAAACCACAGAGTGAACCGGGTGGTGTTCCTGGGGAACATGAAGCGGCTTCTCACGACAGGGGTCTCCAGGTGGAACACAAGACAGATTGCCCTCTGGGACCAGGTCAGCAGCAGGGAGGCTGGGTGGTGGCATACAAGGGTGGTAGCTCTGGGGACTGTGCTGGAGTTTGGGAAGGTGCCGTCCTCCCTGGACATAAGCTGATCCTGGCCCCCTCCCCACAGGAGGACCTGTCCATGCCTCTGATTGAGGAAGAAATTGACGGGCTCTCCGGCCTCCTGTTCCCCTTCTATGATGCCGACACCCACATGCTGTACCTGGCTGGAAAGGTAGTGGAGGGTGGGGGAGGGCCTGGGGCAGCCTGTGGGAGACCCCTGCCCTCATCGCACCTCTGCTCCTCCCTTACTCCCCTAAGAAGGGCCAGCCTACCCTCTTGGGCCTTTGCCTAATCCAACCTGGGTCTCACTCTCTTCCATTGACACCTACCCTCACATCTGACACTTATTCTTACTGAAGTGTCAATGACTAAGAATTCCTTCAGAGGTGAATTGGAGAGGGTTTTACATTGGAATAAGGATCTGAGCCTGAATTGTAGAAGACTGTGACTAATGATGGAGTTTGAGGCACCTGCCAGGAGATCTCTGACAGACATGGCCTTGTCTGTCAGAAAAGCATCCTATTCTACACGCACACCAGCAGCAGCAGCGCCACCACCATCACCCACGGCGAGTCCCCTGTGGCAGGCAGGCCCACCAGGGCCCTAAAGGTCAGGCCTCCCTGGTCTTTGACCATGTTGGAGGCACAGCAGAAGCTGTCTTCAGCAGACCCCTGGACCAGGGCTACTCAGTCCTCCCCTCCCCCTCTCTCTTCCTCACCTGTCTCTCCCCGTGCCCGCAGGGTGATGGAAACATCCGGTACTATGAGATCAGCACGGAGAAGCCCTACCTGAGTTACCTCATGGAGTTCCGCTCTCCAGCCCCGCAAAAAGGCCTCGGTAAGGAGTCAGACACCGCGTGCCTGTCAGACTGTAGAACAAGAGACTGGACATTTGGTTCGTGGGTTACCCCCCACCCCCAATAAACTGTCAGACTCAGAAGGCCTCGGCCCATGGGCAAGGCAGAATAGAACCTGCAGGTACTGGCCCTGTGAAGGTCAGCCTGCTGGCCTTCAGCCACCAGTCAGCACCCACTTGACCGGCTCATCCGTACACGGTGTTGGGCGTCCTTCACCATCTCCAGCCGTCAGCAGCCCACAGGGGTGTGACTGTGTCCTCATTCTTGTTTGCAGAGGGGGAGGCTGAGGCCCAACATGGTTCTCACATTGGAGGGTTTTCTTTCTCGTGGGCGGGTGAACAGGAGAGAAGACAAGGTGATTTGATCTGAAAGTTTAGTTGAAGATTGCTCTGGCTTCTGCAGGGAGAGTGGGTTTGGGAACATGGATTTTGAAAGGGCAGGGAGGAGGCCACTGTGAATTTCTAAGCAAGATATGAGGGTAGCTAGGGGGATGGCATGACAATGAGAGAGGAGGAGGAATCCAGGAGATGTGCAGAAACAGGGCCAGCGGGACCTGGGGAGGAGAGGAGGCAGAGGGCGGACCAAGGGTACCCATTTCTCATTCTCCTCACCTGTGGCCACTGTTGAGCCATTACCATGAACCGACACTTTCGAAGGTTCAGAGTTGCTAAGTAAGTCACCCCAGGCAGATCACGTAGCTGTTAAGTGGCAGAGCCAGAGCTCCTATTCAGTCTGCTGGCTCCAGATCCCTCTTTGGTACCTACACCACTTCCCCCGACCCCAGCTCCTGGGACCCCCTTATCTGGAAGAGCAGTCTTCCATTCCAGCTGAGGGGAGGTAGAACCCTAACTCACATTCACATCATGGAGAAAGGAACATGTTATGTGCCTTTCACTGTGCTGAGCAGTTCATGAGCTTCTTCACACTCAGCCCCCTGACCATCGCATGAGGGGCTGCTACGTGCCTCCGCTTGCCAGTCAAGGCCCCTGAAGCTCAGAGAGGTCATCATCTGCCCAAGGACTCCCAGCCATAAAGAGGGGCAGAGCCAGGATTAGAACCGTGGTCTGTCCTACCCCCCAACTTGTGTTCCTGACACCACAGTGCCCTGCTCCCTCAGTAGGCAATCAGTAGATGCAGCCACTAGGGACCGTGTGGCTGAAGCACAGACACAGACAATACGCGCGCACACACACGCACATATGCGCTCAGTCCTAGGACTGTGACAGAACAGCAGTCCAGCTGCACTTCATCCTCGGGATGGTGGGGGGAGCATGGGAAAGGGTTTTTTCCCTCTTTCTCTCTGAGGACCAAGGACACCAATGCTTTAAAAAGCCAGTTTGTTTTAGAAGGTGATGGGCTCTGTGACTTTTTGGTGACAATATTCTTTGACTTTGGGCAAGCCCCTTCCCTTCTGACCCTTAAGAGTCTCATCTATAAAAAGAATGGATTCAATCTCAATATTTCTGCAGCCTCTTCCAGTTCTGCACGGCCCCACTTCTAAGTCATGCACTTGGGTGAGGCAGGTCTGGCCCACAGGGCTTGAGTAGTTACCCCGCAGAGACAGAACTGACTCAAGAAGCCCTCAGCCCACCCCCTGCCCTCTGCATGGGTCATTGCTCCAAAGCTAGTGCTCCTCCGGGGTCTTTCCCCTGGCTGGGGACATCACGGAAGAGAGACACCAGGGGGGCATCCCCCGGGCCCCAGGGAACCACGTGTGCCTGTCCGCAGGGGTCATGCCCAAGCACGGGCTGGATGTGTCGGCTTGCGAGGTGTTCCGCTTCTACAAGCTGGTGACTCTTAAGGGCCTGATCGAGCCCATCTCCATGATCGTGCCCCGGAGGGTGAGTGGGGCTGGACAGGGCTCCCAAGGGCCCCGTATCAAATCCTAGCCTGCTCTCCACTGACTGGAAGCCTTGAGGAGCCCAGAAGAAGGAGCCCTTTTCCTGTGGACTGGCCGGGGTGGGGAATGGAGGACACGCCAAGGTGGGGACAGTTCTGTCTGCTAACGAACTCAGGGTGGGAATTCCAAGTGGGAGACGCTGTGAGTGCAAAGGCTCGAAGGCAGGAGGGCAGGGAGCATGGTTGGAGGTCAGCAAGGAGAAAAGTCTGACTGGAGAGCAGGGCTTTTCTCAGCAGCCCCCCATCTGTTCCCTCTTCTGCTCCCCCCACCATAGTCGGATTCCTACCAGGAAGACATTTACCCCATGACGCCAGGCACGGAGCCAGCTCTGACCCCCGATGAATGGCTGGGAGGCATCAACCGAGGTAAGTACTGTTAGGGGAGGGCTTCACCAAAGAGGCTAAGACTGTGTGAGCTTTGCCTCCAGTCTGGCCCACCCCATATCCCCTGCACATGCTCCTGCTGGGACTTTGCCTCGCCCTTGGCCAACTGTCAAGTGTGGGATAAATGAAAGACCGTCACTTGACAGTGCGTCAGTTGTCAATGCGTCCCTTGCCTTCCTTAGATCCCGTGCTGATGTCTTTGAAAGAAGGCTATAAGAAGTCCTCAAAAATGGTATTTAAGGCTCCCATCAAAGAAAAGAAGAGCGTTGTGGTCAATGGAATAGATTTATTAGAAAATGTCCCACCCAGGACAGAAAACGAGGTAAGGAATAGAAGTTCTCTCCTCCACAGGCCCTGGAAGAGTAAGACCTTGTCATTTCAACTATGGGCAGCAGGCCTTCAAGCCAGCTCCATTCTGAGGGCTTTTTCTTTCTGTGACAAACGCCCTAAGTAGCCTGCTGTTGGCTTCCATTGCCCTGACCCCGATAAGGAGAGGCTGGGGTATCGTAGGGACATTGATGCCCCTCCTCCAACCTTCAAATTCACTAACCCACACAGTTACATATGAATTCACAGTCTCCTCATGCATCCATTCCAGAGTGTCGCTGTCACTTGGTGTTGCAGGAGATATAAATTCCTGCTTCATAGAGGAAAGCCAGCCTCGTGCATTCCAGCACTGCCTTCCTTCCTGGCCTTGTAGCACTGATGAGATCTCACGGTTTCCTGTTTTGTGGAAGAGGCTGGATGTTTATGGAAATGGTCTTTGTGCCATTTGCAGTGGGAGCCTTCAGGGGCAGCCTTAGCTGGGCCTTCTCCCTGCCCCCAAAGGCTCCTCTTTCCAACCCTACCCTCAGTCTCCGGTGCCAAACAGCTCAGCTCAGCCAGGACTCACAGAATGCCTACCGTGTGCCAGGCACTTGGCTTGATGCAGCTGAGGCAGAGATAGCTGCGTAGACCCACCTGCGTTTGAGTCCTGGCTCTCCCACTTCCTGGCTCTGCCTGAGCAAGTTTCCTGACCCAAGTCCATTTGCTCGTGGTAAAACGGGGATATGAAATGCCGGGAGCATGAGAGAGATACTCTGTCTTTAAGTGTCTACACTCTTCCTGGCTCACGCTAAGTACTCAAAGAAGCTGACTGTATTAGCTGTCTATTGCCTTGTATCAGATTCCCCTAAAACCTAATGACTTAAACCCACGAACATTCATTATCTCATAGTGTCTATGGGTGCCTGTGGCTCAAGATCTCTCACCAGGGTGTGAAGTGTCAGCCAAGGCTGCAGTCACATCTGAAGGCTCAACTGCTTCCAAGTTCACTCACATGGTTGCTGGCAGGACTCATTTCCTCCCAGGTTGTTGGACTGAGGGTCTCCGTTCCTCATGGGCTGTCGGCCAGAGGTGCTCCCCAGCTCGGGCCCTTGCCCTGTGGACCTCTCCATAGGGCAACTCACAACATGGCAACCGGCTTCCCTCGGAGTGAGGAAGAGAGGGTGTCCTAGATGGGACACCAGTCTTTTTGTAACCTGACCTTGGAAAAGACATCTCATTACTCCTCCCATATACTATTCATTCGAAGCAAATCGCTAGGTCCAGTCTACCATGAGGGCAGGGGATAATGTGGGGTGGGGGGCATCTAGAGGTTTCTTATCACAACAACTCATGGTTATCACTGTTACTCACAAAAATAAGGCTATTCCTGACCTCTGGGACCTCACGGTTTTAAAGTGGAAATTGACAGGTAAACTGGTCATTATTATCCTGTATGTTTATGTGCTATTATAGAGGGATGTTGAGATTTCTAGGGCTGGTTGAAATCATGTGATAAATAGGATTTGCTTCAAAATAACCCCTGGGGGGGGGGTGCAGGGAAGTGGGCAGGAGCTAATACCAAGAATAGGTAGATGTCATGCAGGAAAAGCAGTAACATATGTCATTTGTTGAAGCTGGTTGATGAGTACTTGGAGATGTATGGTGTTAATCTTCCTACTTTTTATGTATTAGGCATTTTCTAATAAAAATTGTTTTACGTACTCTGAAAAGGTAGAAGTACCTGAATTGCTTTTCGAGCCCACGTGGGCCATACCAGGAGCCTGAGCTCAGTTCCAGCGCTGGTGTGCAACAGGCAGCTCGGACTGATAGTGAAAGAGAACACCACCTAGCTGTTGACCTGTCCGTATGAATCAGAACCGAGGAGTCGGAGGGAAATTGTAAAGAGTCTCTGAGCAGACAGAACAGATGCCAGTCTCCCTACACTAAAGCCTGTGCACTGTCCTCATAGGGAAGAGAGTCGCTCAGGGCCTGCTGACTCTGGTTTTACCCGCTGTGTTAGTCTTTACAGCAGGTCAGAAGCAGCCCGTTAGAAAGGGGGACCCGTTAGGGAAGCCCCCCGTTAGGGGGCTTCACTAAAAACCACTGGATTGCACACTTAAAATAAGGGAAATTATGGAGTGTCGATTACACCCCAATAAGGCCTTTCTAAACAAACGTCAAACAATTACGCAAAGAAATTTTGAGAATTTGGAGGGCTCAGGAGTATGTAGGAGCAAATAACGTACTTCCCTCAGACAAAACCAGGGCTGTTCTGTTGGTTAAAAAAAAAAGTCAGTTAAAAGAAGAAATCATAAAAATGACGTATGCGTTCTTTAAACCACTCACGTTCATTTAAAACAATTACACTCATTCATTCAATGCATTTCGAAGCAGGACTGTTTCTTTGAGGACATCCCCAGCTGGGCTGGGCTGGGCTGGGCTGTGTTTTTCTCAAATAAATCGCACTTCACCTCCAGTTTCATTTCTGTTACGTAGAACAAGAACTTAAAAGTCAATCTGGAAACAAAGCCCTAGTTTTTTCAAAGTTTCCCCCAGTTCTTTAAAAAGAAACGTCACCAAGGTTTAATTCATGTACAATAAAATCCATCCTTTGTAGTGTGCAGTTCCCTAAGTTTTGACAAACGTGTAAAAGTTCTGATGCGCGTGAAACCGCCCCACACAACCCAGAGACAGAAAACCCCCCAGTGTTTTGTGGAACGTCAACACACCTCATTCAGCGGCAGCATTTTTAGCATCACCTTTACCAAGATTTTTCTAAAGCATTCAACTTAGTTTTATAGAAACAGCAACTGTCTTTTTGTACTCACGCTTCATCAGTTTATACCCTATTTAATCACATTATGCAATTACCAGAACAAACGGGACTCCCACCAGGGAGTTTGAGGATGAACCCAACTGCTTGTTGGTAACCTTCAACTCAAGTCGGGGCGGGGGTCCTCCAGGAGCCATGCCTTCCAGGCCTCAGTGTTCTGCGGGCACCTGTCCGTCTGTTCTACAGAGGAAACGGAGAGACGGCTTAATCCAGGGGGTCGTCTAAGAGAGGGCCTGCCTGTGCCCACGCCAGCCGTGGGCGCAAACTGTGGTAGTCCTAGTCAGCAGGAAAAAGGCCAGATCCGTTCTGTATCCCGAGCCCCCTTAGGCAAACATTTTAGAAAGGTTTCCACCCAGAACGGTAACTAAAAGTGTTAGGTTTGAACCCCTAAAAGGGTGAGGTTGGGATGTTTGGGAAAATGGCCTGTGTGGACTGCCCCCTTCCTCAGTGATCCCGAATCAGACCCAGGGCAGGTCTGTCCCTATTTTCCACCTCACGGGGGGAAAGTAGGAGTCGGGAGCTGAGTCTGGGGACAGGAGAGCTGTGGTGACATCAGTCATCTGGGACACTGCGGGGTGGGGTGGTGGAAGGTCTTGGGGAGGTGGGCAGAGGCTACAGTGGAGATCTCAGGAGGGGAGGGGGGTGGGGTACCCACTTTGGAAATCACCTTTTCACCTCCTTTCTCCCGGCCCCGCCATGACCCCCTCCCTCTGTCCACCCAGCTCCTCCGAATGTTCTTCCGGCAGCAGGACGAGATTCGGAGGTTGAAAGAGGAGCTGGCCCAGAAGGACATCCGCATTCGGCAGCTACAGCTGGAACTGAAGAACTTACGCAACAGCCCCAAGAACTGTTAGCTCTCGGTGGGGCTGCTTTCTAAGCCGATCTCTCCGTTGTTTCTACTCGTCTCTTACCTTCCCCTTATCCTGTGACCCCAGAGACAGAGCCAGGAGGGGAGCTGGGGGAGAGCCTGAGGAGGAGAGCCCCACCTGCCACCTCAAGAACTGGAAGCTGATCTTTGACCTCTTGACCTCATGCCAATAAAAGGCCCCAGCCTCTCCTGGAGACCCACTGCTGGCAGCCCTTTTCCTGCCTGTCACTTTCCTGGCTGGGCAAAGACTATGGATTCCTTGAGGGGTGGTCTCCACACACCAGGGAGCAGAGGAGGAAACCAGGACCCCCGTAGACTTAGAACTGGAACTTTCCCTTGCAAAGGAGGCTGCTGCCAGGACTTCTTAGCACCCACTGCTGGGGCTCACAGCACCCTGATGGACCACACTGTAAGGGCTGGATGGCAGGCATCACCTGTTCTCCCTCCCCTCCCCCCACTCCCTTGGCGGCCCTGGAAGCCAGAGTCACCTGACAAGGGTTGCAAGCAGCCCCACTCCTTTCTGTCTCTTGCCCCCTCTCTCTTGTCTTCAGGGAATTAAGAGGATTGCTCGCCAAGGCCATAATGACCCCTTGCCTTCCCATGAGTCTCTTCAAAGCTCTTGCAATACCCCTTCCCCATTTAATTGGTGAGGCAGGCAGGGTAGGGAACAGTGTCCCCATTTTACAAATGCCAGAACTGAGAGCTGCACTGGCGAAGTGACTTGCTAAGTCACCCAAAAGGTCAACAGTGGACCCAGGTCCTAGCGTGTCTAGACCCCAGACCAGGGCCCTTCCCACTGCATCAGATGCCAATCCCCCAGCGGCTTCCCCAGTGCCCAAGTATGCATGGAGAATGAGAACTGGAAGCCACTTCTACCGTCTGCCCAACACCAGTAGTGCCAATGTGTCACACTGCCCAGTTGAGGCCCCTCACACTCAGTGCCCCTCCATCCCCTTGGCCCCCCTGCCCTGTTTCCCCCCAGGGGACTCCCTCTGAGATGAGGCCTCTTCCTCCTGGAAGCTGAGGCTGAGGGGGGGGCCTGGGGAAAGCACAGCAGGGGTCCGCTCGCTTCTCAAAGTGAATGATGCTCTGTGTGTGTCTCTTGCCACTACTATCTCAGCCACTTTCAGCCTTATACTTGTAGAATGACCACAGCCCCTCGAGTCGGCATAGCACTTTAAAGTTTACACAGTCCTTCAGTACATCAGATCTCATCGGAGTCTCATCTGCTCCAGGAGGTAGGGAGCACTCGTTCCATTCTGTAGATGAAGAAACCAAGGAGTGGCCTGAGGTCACAGGACTCTTTGGAGATGCCACATTTCATTTGGTCTTCTACACATTTTTTTTTTCTCTCCTTTTCTCCATTTCCCTCCACCCACAGTGTCCATAAACACTGTTCTTCACAGAATCGCCACAGTTTGGGGGGGAGATCTGGCCTGGGAACCAAATGGGTGCCCTCCTTACCCTCATTCGCTCGGATCTGCTGCACACATTACGCCCCACGCCTGCCTTTCCCGTGGCCCCCGTGCCGAACATCCACCACGGGAGCCAGGGTTCCGCAAGCCCCTCCTGGTGACGCCGACCCCTGCGGTTCCCCCCAAGAACCACGCACCCTCTTGGCCAGCTACAGCAGCACCCGCCTCGCCCCACCCCCTGCAGCTGGACAGTGTTAGCTCTCATTGCCTCCTCCCCACACTTCTTGCGCTTTTTTTTCTTCCCCATTGACCTTTGTGGTCTTCTGTGATTATTTATGCTGCCTCCCAAGGATAGAATTGAAATAAAATGTTTTCAAATTACCAAACCTGCTCCTGGTCACCACGGTATCTTGACGGCCAGCTCCCCAGCCACAGCTCCTTTGCCTTTCTGGGACAATAGACCACATCTGTCTCTACAGATACAATTTCACACTTTCATCCACCTCAGCAAGGCTTCTGAACCTCAGCACTATTGACGTTCGGGGCCAGATCATTTTTTTGCTGTGGGGCTGCCATGTGCACTGTATAGGGTTCAGCATCGCCCCCAGCTTCTATTGATCGGATGCCATAGGAACTCCTACCTGGTGGTGATAAACAGAAATGTCTCCATGCATTACCCAAGGTCCCCTGGGGTGTCAAAATAGCCTCAGTTAGGAACCACAGTTCTGTAGTTACTCAGTAGACATCTGCTCTGTATCTAGCCTTGTGTTAAGATCTGGGGGACGCCAATGTTTTACACAGGAATGATTTCACAGTTCACAAAGCACTCTTCCATGTACTTGACTCTTGATCTTCATTCACAGCAGCTTCGTGTATGTTCTAATATTATTCCCAGTTTCAACAAAGGGGTCAGGTGCAGTGCGGTGACATGCTCAAGGTCGCTCAGCTGGTATAGTGGGGAAGCCACACAAGGATGTGAATCTTATGAGCCAGAGAAGGCACAGGCTCCCAGTCTCCAGCCAGTCTCTGTGCTGTGGGCCAAGTTTGTGCTGGGGGAGGTCTGGGCCCCACCACAGACACCGGCTGTTGGATAGGGGCCGCCGGCCAGTGGGACGCCCTCATCTCTCACCAAGCCAGGGTTGTCATGGAGCAGAGTTGTCAGGCACAAAGTGGACGGGCACATCGCAGCATGGGCACCACAGAAAGCTCCACACGGCCAGAGGAAAGCATTGGAAGTCTTAGAAGAGAGCTGGAGAGAAAATGAATAAAGGGCTGCAGCAGAGCCATAGGTGAGACACCGGACACAGGGAGGGGTTGTCCCGGGCCCGGCTCTGTCTCTAACTGGGTGTGTGGCATTGAGTCTCACTTCTTGCTGAGCCTCACTTTCTCCATCTCTAAAATGAGGGGATAAGACAACCCTTCCTGGTCTGATACGTTTCTATTAGACCAGCAGTTGGGAGATTGGGACAAATCCCCAAGACCACCCATGGTCTAGCACGAGTGGTGCAAAGGAGAAGAGTATCAGTGAGAGGGGAGCAGCAGGACAGCTTCCTCCAGGGTCCGGTGCAAAGAAGTGCTTTTGCCAAACACGAGTTTGAACAGATCCCCGGAGTTTCTGCTGTAGATCAGTTCACAAAGCCCCAGGGCCTGAGAGAAGTGCCGCATCATTGAGAGTCCTGCTGCCTTTCCCTCGAGATGCTGAGGGAGACAAAGCTAGTTCCTTGACTAGGGCTTCCCACTCATCCATCCTTGCCCCCACCTGGGCTCAGGGAGCAGATGATTGGGCCAGGTGATCTGTCTCACGTGTGTCTGTCCCATTCAATCCCCAGCTCTGAGCTTAACTGGACAGCTCTGTAATCATTACTCATTATGGCAAATTGTCTACGGTCAGGGTCAAACACAATTGCCCCCCCCAAGTAGCCCATTTTCCCAACTGTATTTGTTAAGTAGGAACGATTCCTCATTGGATGTCTGTGTGTCTTTTAGTCCTTCATATGCTAAAGTATATTCTGCCTAGTCTTACACTGAACTAGCCATTGCCTGGCCAACCACGTTGCTTTGATTATTGTAACAACAGAGGACAGCAAGTCTCCTCTGGCTCTTTGAGCCTGTTCTTACTGCCATGTTCCCCACCAGGTGCTCACTCACCTCTTTTCTCCAGTGAAAACATAGAGTAAACTCCAGACCCTTCTCTTCTAAGAAGAGGTCCTCCTGGGCATGCCTGGAACCCCTTGTCCTGCCCGTCAACACCAACTTGGATTTTCAGCCCAGTCTAACAGACTTGGGTAGCTGGATCTGCTCAGTACTGGGTGCTAGGAACCCAGCGACAGGAAGGAATCAGGCCTACCCTTGAGGGCCTCTGGCCAGGGGTCCATCCATGGGCATCACATCACCTAGCGGGACAAAGAGCCCCTGGAGGCTGGAATGAGCTTCACCTTCTGCCTGGTTCAGCATGGAATAGGCAGTTATGGGATTTTCTGACTCCCAGGTTCTCTTCCAGCCAGCCTCCTGAGATCCCAAGATGGACTTGGGCATTTTTAGTCTCTCCCCTGGTACTGGGCAAACATCCCAGACTGCCAGTGGACCGTACAGAACGTTGCTGCTTCTTCACTGTGGGAAGTGACTTCATATTGAAAACACTCCTCTACACACCAGGCCTCCACCCCTCAGCCTTGCTGCATGCAGCCGGAGCAGACACTCACCTCGGCCGCAGGAAGCACTGCTGCATCCCTCCTTGTCCTCCCCGGGGCTGGCCAGCCCGGGCACTGCAGGCCTGCGGTGCAGGGAGGGAAGAGGGCCCTGTGTGGGGTGCTGGCAGAAGCGCCTTGTGTTCTGTGCAGTGTGTTTCTACTTGGGAACAACCTGCAGCCTGACTTCCCTTGGAATTTTAATTTGGCAACAAACACAAATGGGTCAGCCCTCCTTAGAAGGAAAAAGGGAACATCTACAGGGCTGGGTCTGGGGAGTGTTAGGACGCTCCGGTTCCACAGCCTCTCCTTACTCCTACCTGGCTGTCACCCTGCCTGGAACCCTCCCACAGCCCACAGTCCCTTTGGGCTAAGCATTCCCCAGGCTGAGCCCTCTTCACACTTAGACCCCCACGATTGGGGTGCTGATGTGGAAAGGGTTAATAGATTGAG